CTCTGGCAGCTGGGCTCCCCCCGCTCCCGGTCCCCCCGTGTGCCGCAGCCGGCACAGCCCGGCACGGCACGGCACAGACAGGGGTTATTTGCTCAGCCTCAGCTGGGCCCCTGCCAGACAATACCAGTACAGCCAGTCTGAGCTCTGCCCCATGAGTGCCGACCCAGAGAGGAGCACAGATGGGCGGCACAGACACCATGGTAAGCCACAGCCCTTGTGGAGGAGCACGTGGTCTTTCTTAAGATTTCAGCATGTCTGTGCTCAAAGTATTTTTAAAAAGTTCCACCCGTTGAATACTCTACTAATTTTTCAGGAAAAAACAAGGATAATGAGCAGTAAAACCAGCAGCTGGGGATGCTGTAAACAGTGGGAAAACGCATTTCCTACCTTCATTTACAGTTACTCCACCTGAAAGCACATGCATGACAATTACAATCCACTGCCACAAAAATCCACAGTCTCCTCAAGTCAGAAAACATAACAGAAACAATATATGGCACATGCTGGGTCGTAAGAAAAAAACATTTAAAGCATCATAATGAACCATTGTAGTTGATTTCTCTCACACCATGTCCACAGGACAACAGGGTAATTCAGGTTGGAAGGGACCTCAGCTCCCTAACCAGAGGTCCAACCCTCTGCCCAAAATAGTCAGCTATGAGGTCAGACCAGACTGCTCTGGGCTTACCCACACAGCTCCTGAAAGCCTCCATTTTGCCACACTGAAAGTATTCTCAATACTTTTATCAGATGCAGAGACAAATTCAAGCAGAACTACATTTCACTTCAGGTACTGCAATATGGAAGTTTAACCTTTTACCTTTAACCTTCTTATCAAACTTCTTCTGTTTCATCTTCTCTCTGTTGTCACGGCGGAGTTCCCTTGCTTCTTGCAATGATTCTTCATTACCCCAGACTTCAAGAGAACGCTTGATTACCTACAGCATGGACATAAATATGTTTCTTTTTGCCCTGAAATTGTAACTCACAAATTTCATTCTTTTCCGCTACATACACAAGCCAACCCAGTCTTGCCACTGCCTCCCATCTGCCTCTTAGCTTGTGACTGCAAACATGCATTCCTTCCACAGTAAGAGGCAACACTGATTTTTAGTATTAGTAGATGCAACAGATCAAGCCCAGCTCTAGTTTTGTGCATATTCCACTAAAGCAGCAGCACTCCTACAAAAGTAGCAAACAAGACAAGGCAAGAGCCTTGGAAAATCTACTTGCCTTTCCTGCTGCCTCTGAGGGGAGAGCTGCGAACACGAGGCCACAGCTACAAAGGACTGCACACAGCAGCAGCTGCCCCACACCATTTCAGTGTCACTGAAAGGCCATGTGCTTCATGACCTGCAACTGTGCACACCACCGAGTTGTGGGCCATGAACATCTTTACAATGCCCCCAAAACACAGATGCTTCCATGAATTTGGACCACAGCTCTTTAACAATACAGAACATTTACACAAGCTACACAGAATATACTTAACTTTGACAAAGTCATTCCGAAATCAGAACCAAAGCAGCAACATTTTAGCTAACTACGTTGTAAGAAGGTAAAAAGAGTTCTGAAATATACTAAGTTTCTATACCTGTGGCTTTAAATAAAGTTTCATGTCACCCCATCGGGAATTGTGAGGGTTTTTCTTCACAATAAATCTGAGCACTGGTTCCCTCTTATCCAAGTCACAGTCTTTAAGAAGATACTCTTCTTTTGCTTCTGTCCTTGTTATAAGCTTATGCTTATCTTCAGTGTCTCTGGAAGATGTAAAATAATGATGAGAAAGCTGCACCTGAAAGCCCTGTTATTAACATCTAAGTCCCCACCATTTCTAACATTCCTGAAATACAGGCTGCCCTCATCCTCTCAGTTTTTTATGTATGCAAATAACTTTGGATTCTGACAATCTACAGCTAAACTCCAGGCTGGGTTTACTGAAATTAAGTTTAAAAATCCTCCCATTTGAGCACACATAAGCTGAGAAGCCTGTTTTTCCAGAAGTGCTTTTCTTACATATTCTTACTAGAGGGAGTAGCTGAAACTTAAAAAGTATGAATAACTTTAGGTATTCACCTAACCCAGATGCAATTCAAGAGGAAAAAAGAACAAGCTTGACACATGGTCAAAAGAGAAAGAATACGCAACGCGAGACAGGTCAGATCACCTGAGAATATACACACTCCATATGCTTCTAGATCCCAGAAACAGATTAGCAACATGGGCAGAGCACTCGCTTCCAAATGCAAATAGGCAGAGGAACCGTGCAATAAAGACTTTATATTTTACCAGTCAGTGAAAAACTGTGCAGCCACAGCAGCCTTTATGAGTTAATAAAAAAAAAACCTACATTTACGCAATCCTGACTGAAGTGTAACTTGAATTGCTCGAGCCGGAGCAATCTGCCAAACAGTAATTGCTAGCAACGGTCATCAAGGAAGCGCTGCTGCCAATGTAGCTTTACTAGAATTCAAAGTTCACCGTAAAAGCTAATGCAGCAAGGAATCGCTAGCGCTCAGCTGCGAGAGCTCACTCCGACAGAAAACCACTCCTCAGGCTCGGAGCCCTCTGCTTGACAAGCTCCATCCACCCACTTTATCTTGGAGACAGCACTTTGCCTCTAATGACTGAGCTGCCCACACCATGTGCACACCCTGGCCGCTCCCTGTAGTAAGCAGGGAAGCTCTCAGAACAAACTCCCAGCTGCTATCTTTGTTTTTTTTTCCTCCCCCATTCATTCTGACACTAATGGCTGGTTGGCTGCTGCTTCAGAGTCCGTTTCATTACCCCGGTTATCTCTGCGGCTTTTGGAGCATTTTCTGTTTGAGATAAGTGCCTTCTGCCCAAGGTCGAACTCCTGCTTACCGTGCAGCTCAACCCGTTAACATCGCACGGGGATTCTGCCCTTTGGCTCCCTGCTCCCGGCTCTCTTGTGCTGATCAAAGTACTAACTTTACTCGGGTTAATTCCCGAGGACTGCAAATACGCTCCTAATCCCCACACTGCTTCAGAAAGCGGGTACTCTGAGTTCTATCGGCTCTTTGCACAGCCGTAGTCTGCCACACCGACCACATTTCCATGCCGACACACTTTACAGCTCTCCAAGACATCAGGTTTCCACCATGTTAACGTAAAAACCCACCGCTGTCCCTTAACCCCGCCACAGGCTCATGAGACAATGCGCTGTTCTTCACTTCCATAACGGGAAATACAGGTAATCCCACAACTCCCGTTTACTTTTTCAGTATTTTAAGTTACTGATAAACGTCTCTTTGCCGACAGCTTTTTTGATTAATCAGCACATTTGCAATTAACTCTATTATAGCCAGCAATCTTTACACACACTACAGCTCTCCTGATTATTTGCAGTACCTGCAATTATCACATGTTGCCCAATCAAAGTGCTGCATAAGGTAGGAATCCATGAATTCTTTGCCACAGTCTCCACAGATGAGATAGTCAAACTCTAGCACAGGTGCTAATGGAAAGAAATTTTTTTTTTTTTAGGGAACTGTAACATTAAAAGCCAAACATCTGGAAATTGGTATTACAGGCGACTTTACTAAAATTCACATTATAGAGTAATTTGTTACAGACTAGTTTCGCTCCTCTATCGAAGTTTTCCCCGACAGATACAAATACAAATTGAAACCCATTATCATTTAATCCCATCTCTGCTCGTGTATTTCTGTTCTTGCTGGAAGGTTCACTATACAAAGTATTGGATTTCAACATTCGAATGCACACATTTGTTTCGACTTAGCTAGCCATTGTTAAAAAAAAAAAAAAAAAGCCCTCCCCGTTTCCTCATAAAGTGCTTCATATCCCCTCCTACAGCTTCCTCCGTTCTGGCCCTCCAAAATACGCCCCGATTTAGAGAGGACGTGCAGGCAGGAGCAGGAGGAAGCAGAGAAGGGGATGCAGTTTGAAGAGGGTGGCGTGAGCAGGAAGCGGCACGGGAGCAGCACTGGTATCATAGTCCTCTCAGGCTGCTCCAGTTTTTTTCCTAGCTCAGCCACACCTGCCTCCCCCTAAACGAGCTCAATGCAGGCATGGGATGGTTGCAAAATCTCTTTCTTGTCTGTTCCGGGTGGCAGAAACGGAGGAGGATGGCCAGAGAGCTGCTAGGAGTGGAATGGGGATGGAGCTCCACTACAATCCTCTCCCCAAGCCCTCTCAGCACTGCTCCAAGCCCAGACTCATTCCACTGCCGGCTACCGCTGCTGGCTGCATCCTCGCCGGGCAGATCACCTCCAGCGTCATCGCCATCCGCTTTACGTTCCGTGGGACACCGAGAAACACCGCAGCTATAAGGAACCCTTCTCTAACAGTAACATTGTAATTCTAACAAAAATTCTAACGTTTTTATACAGTTTCACGCGCTAAAAATGAGGCAATGCCGCAGAATTTTAACAATACCTGAAAGATAAGATTAATGCTTGATATGCAGCACCATACATTTTTAATTGCGGTTGCATTTATAGCAGATTCGATCTAGCAAAGGCGACATTTTATGCCAATTCAGCCCCGCAAGCGACAGGGGGGGATGCTCAGTACTTCACATAGTCATGCTCTTACATCACATTTCATCATTTCAGGCAGTACTCCCGAACGTAGAGGCATTTTATTAAGACAATGACATCAAGAATTACACAGCAAAAACACCTCCCCCCGTGCAAAGGCATCCCAGATCCGCTTAATTTATTGTTAAACATTAATACCTCAAAAGAAGTAAACCTGCTCATCATTTACACGCCTAATGAAATCTAGTGGCGATTTCTAACAAAGAGATACTGCACCAATAGCCCCGCAGCAGAACAAAGCAAGACAAAGGCAATCCCAGAAAAGAAACTGGATCTATTTTGGGATCCTTACTTCTCCATTTGCTTTTTGGAGGGAGAGTATCACCAGACAATGTGTTGAAATCCCCCCCCAACCGATCAGCAACTTGGCGTCAGAGTACGTTTTATAACGCTAAAAGCTGGCACTGCAGCAATGCTCTCATCTCAGCATAAACGCCATCAACCGCCAAATTCCCAAAACCAACGAAATCGCGCGGATTCACACTTACTTTGCTCTCAAAATTCCAATTCCCGAAAGAAACCGTAGAAATAAGGTTTATCGAAGAATTAAAATGAAAAAAAAAAAAAAAAAGAAGAAGAAACGTGCTATATATACCCAAGGGCACTGGCTGTGTCCCACTTCCGCGGCTTAAAATTCTCCATTTTTAATTACCGCGTGCTTAATGCTGAAAGAATTCGGACGCGCCAGGAATTCAGCACATCCAGAAAGAAACGAAAAGAGAGAATGAAAAAAAAGAAAAAAATGGAAAGGGGGGAAAGAGGCAAGATAAAAAAAAAAAAAAAGATAAGAAGAGAGGGAG